CCATCCCACACCCTCCCCCTACCTGTGGGGCAGATGATTTTCACGTTACTCTCTCTCTACTTTGATTACATTAAATATTTTGACACCAGACCCACCATTTTATTTTGGAATTTTACCCCAACACTCAGATCTGCCGAAAAGGCAACAGTAGGCAATTTGTTTTCTATTGCTGGTTATGAATAACATATGATGTCATGTGGCTGCAGTCGTGGCCGCATGCTTTTCAAATTCCGAAATTTTAACACTTAAATCTGGAGGGATTTCCGCAAAAACCTGCTGGGTTCTGAGATTTGCTGCTGAGTCTCTGGGATCATGGCCGTTAATCAGCTTGATCTGGAGCCAGAGAGGCTGTTCGTGGGTGGTGACTGGGGGTCTTGTTGAGACGGGGAGGAAAGGGCCGGCTCCACCCCCATCCCATGAGGTCCCTGCATGTCTCATCACTGAGGGCCCAAACCTGACTGTCCAGTGGCCTCTGGAGGATGGCGGCCACCAATCCGCCAAGGGGGAGCAGGTGGCGGGACAGCACCCTTTCCCCCCTGGGGTGGTCCAGCGACAGTAACCTACTGTGGGGTCCGGACGCATTTCTGCCAAAAGCCGCTGGGTTCCGAGATTTGTTTCTGAGTCTCTGGGATCATGGCCGTTAAGCAGCTTGATCAGGAGCCAGGAAGCCATTGTGGGAGGCAACTCGGGGTCTCATTGGGGTGGGGAGGAAAGGACCAGCTCCACCCTCATCTCGTGAGGCTCCACATGTCTCGTCACTGTGGGTCCAAACCTTACTGTCCAGTGACCTCTGGAGGATGGAGTCCACTGGACCGCCAGGGGGCCAGGCCAAGGCATGAAACCTATTCCCACCTGGAGTGGCCCAGCGACAGTAACCTACTGCAGGGAACGGATGCATTTCTGCCAAAAGCCCCTGGGTTTCGAGATCTGTCTCTGAGTCTCTGGGATTGTGGCCATTAGGCAGTTCGATCAGAAACCAGAGAGGCCACGCCTCCAATTACATAGCTGAGCCGGAGGTGGTTTGTGGGTGTGTCTCCCACAGACCTAACTTTTGGCCGTTTACTTTCTTGGTAAACTTTGCCCCAAGTTGTTGGGGTCTGGCCAAAGGCACAGCAGCAATTTGGGGGTATCTGGAAGTCTGAAGGCACCATGAGGCTGCTGATGGACTCGCCTCACAGGTACAGATTGACCTGCTGGCGGCACCATACCCCCAATCTTTTTCTAAAATTTTTATTAGTGAGATACTATGAGGTACAGTTGTAGACTTACAAATTTTGTGCTTGGGTTTCGATTATACAATGATCAAATACCCATCCCTCCACCAGCGCCCATTTCCCACCACCACGGATCCCAGTAGCCCTCCCACCCCCCATCCCCCCATATCTCACCCTACCTCTGTGGCAGGACATTCCCTTTTGTTCTCTCTCTCCTTTTGGCTATATACCCCCTATTTTTTATTGTTTTTTAAAAAAAAAGCTTAGGTAATGTGTTTACAATGGGCGTTGATATGGTATTGTATGAACAAATTTTCTTAGTAATGCGCCATTTACTGGTCATTGGCCCCACTGGGAACATGCAGTGCATTTGTGCTAGCTTCATTCCTTGCATAGTAGGCCTACTGTGCGTGCTTGTCTGATGGCTTTAGAGGCCCCAGTGATAAATAGGAATTCCTTCTTTGCGATGTTCAAAGGTGTTGTTCCTTTTTTCCCAGCAGGTGGAGCTAAAGCCACATCAGGTTGGGGGCTGGGGAAGGGGGTGGGGAGCGAGGTGGGCTGTGCAGGGGCTGAGGAGAGTTTGTGGCAGAGCTGCCAGATCCAAATGAGGAGCAAGGGGAGCCAACGGGGCACTTCTCCCAAAGGAGAGGTGGGATCTGAGCCCTCTGGAAGGAACTTGGAGTATCCAGTGATCCAAAAGGGTCTGGGATCCCCCCACTGCTTTCCTATTCCCCTCACCCATCCTGCCCCCAAATCATTCTTTGGAAAGGAGACAAACTTTCTGCAAACAGGAAACTGGGGAGACAAGTCATTCCAAACCCCCACTATACAGGTGGGGTAAACTGAGGCCAAAGAGATAAGAATCTGAGAGGCTCCAAATGAGAAAACACAGAGAGGAGCATGTGGATGCCCAAAGTCCTCCCAAGGAAGGGGCCAGGGCTGTAGGAAGTGGTGTGCTGTTTCTGGGAGGCCAGCATTTGAGAGGCAGGCTAGAAGAAAGACCTATGAAAGCTGGATCTACTGGCTGGATGCACCAGAGACCAGGAGTCTGTATAATTCAGACCAGTGATCCCTAACAGGACTGCCTCGAGAGCTGGGGCTGGGAGACTGGTGGGAGTCTCTGTCTTGTCCCCCAATAAAAACTCTTATGAAAGAGTCTGTAAGTAGGAGAGCTGCTTGGGTATGAGTTACCAAGTTGTTCCTCCCTTTTCCTTTTCTGAAAAGATTAAAACAGTACCTACCTCGTGGGGCGATTTTAACTTAGAATCGAATGGATATTTATCCAGCATGAGAAACACTCTAAAATTTCTAAAACTGGCATGGCAGAACTTCCATCAGCAGAGAACAAGCAGCACAAAAGCTAAAGGAACTCATCACTAAAGTGACCATGCAAGAAATATTAAAGGAATTTTTACAAAAAAAAAAACACTTAGAAATAATAAGAAACAGGAAAAATCTCACTAATAAAATGAAATATGCAGTAAAGGTAGGGAATGGATCACTTAGAGAGCTAGCAGGAAGATGAAAGACAAAAGAATGTCAAGAGCTTAGCTCGATTTACCTATTTATGTGTAAGTGTCACCGCCTCCATCCACACACACAGAAAACTGCCAGATCTTCCCCAGATGTGGCGAAGGGGGTGGGAGGGGTGGATACAGTATGAGAACAACAAATGGCCAAAGTCTTCTGAAATGAAGATTTTTTTTTTCTATCCATTAACTAAGCTTACATGTGGGGGGCCGGGGGAGAGATTGGGAAGGGTCCTTGGGACACTGGTGGAGAGAAGGGATCTCTCTGGTGATGGGTCTGCTGTGGGAATTGTACATGCAGGAAAATGAGATTTAGGGGCTGGAGAGATAGTACAACAAATAGAGCTCTTGCCTTGCACATGACTGACCCTAGTTTAATCCCCAGCTCCACATATGATACCCTGAGCACCATCAGGAGTGATCCCTGAGGAACACCGAGGAATAAGCCTTGAGAATCTTTGGGTGTGACCCAAAAACCAAGAGGGGAGATGATTAAAAGTATTGTAAATCCCAGTACCTCAATTAAAAAAAAGTTTTAAAAAAGATAAAGGAAGGATAAAAGCAAAGGGACAGGGAAGGAAAGTAAACAGGGGGGAAGGAGGACATGAAATGAGGGAGGAGAGTGCACTTGTGGACAGGGGAGTGGCTTTAAGGGCTAGAGCACATGCCTGGCACATAATGGGCCCTGGGTCTGAACCCCAATAGCCTGTATATGTGTCCCTTGAGTACGACTGGGTGTAGCTCTGGTGGTCCCCAGCACCACTGGGGGACCCTCAGAGAAAATATGAAGTTAGAAATGGCTCAAGAGTAATGTGCAGTTGAGGGGTAGACATGGCAAGGTAATGCATTGGGGGGCGGGGAGAGGGGAGGGGGACAAATCCAGTGATGCTCAGGGCTTACTGCTGGCTCTGTACTCGGGAATTATTCCTGGTGTTGCTCGGGGGACCATGTGGGATGCCGGGGACTGAACCTTCTCGCTGTACTTTCACTCTGGCCCCAGGAATGCACATTTTAAAGAGATGTAAAGGGTATCCCTAAAACACAGTCTTGGTTTGGGCGTGTTTTGTTTTAAATTCTAGCACCACACCTGGTGGTGCTGTGGGGATCACATTAGGATTGAGCCCAAGCCTACCGCATGCAAAGCAGGAGCTCCCGCCACTGGAGTGCTCTCCCTGGCCCTAGGCTCGGTTTTAACCTTAGGGCGTTGAGGAGCTGAGTTTTTGCTGAAGTTCTATCAAAGCGGCTTTTATTATCTATGGGGGCCACACCCAGCAGAGCATGGAGGTAGAAGGACAGGGTAACTCCCAGTGATGCTCAACTGGTGGCGTGGGTCCTGCAGTTCAGAGTTCAATCTGGGGTGCCTGAGGACTTTGTGCACTTAGGGAACCATGGCAAAAGAGACAGTACCTGGTTTCATCCCTGGCACCCCACACGGTGCCCCAAGCACTTCCAGGAGTTAAGTCCTGAGAATAGGCAGGTATGGCCCAACATTAACCCCTCCCCATCAAAAAAAAAAAAATAGTACAACCAATGGCAACTTGAAATGGACTAGAGTATTTGAACAGTGCCAATCAGTGCCGCCTCCCCTTCTCTTCGCCAATCCAGAGGAAGCTTTTCAGCAACACAAGGGACCCTTCCTCAGTCACCTTCCCACAGCACCCAGGGACATTCTCACACTCTAATCCTGCAACAGCTGTAGAGAAAGAATTGCAGGTCTCAGGGAACCCAAAATGCCCAATCAAGCCTGGGGATGTGGCTTGAGTGATTGCGTACATGCCTGGCCCATGGGAAGCCCCGACCATCCTGCCATCGCATCCCTCTAACTCCCAACCAGCTCCACCATTGGGCCCAGAGGCCCCAAGCACCATCTCAGTATGTCTCAGTCAGTCAGTCCCAGCACAGGTAGGTCCTCCTGCACACACACACACACAGGGTGTAGTTCTGGGCAGGCTCAGATGTCTGCCTGTGTGGTCATCTCTGACACCGAAGAGCAGGCTCACAGAAGTGGGGTGCATTTGAGTCAGACATCAGTGTATCTACACTGGAGCTGTTTCCTCCTCTTGATATTTGTAGTTGTTGTTGTTTTGTGTTTGTGCCACACCCGGTGATGCTCAGTGATCAGGAATCTGTGCTCAGGAATCACTCCCGGGGACTCAGGGGACTATATGGGATGCCAGCGATTGAACTCTGGTCGGCTGATAGTAAGGAAATGCTGTATTATCACTCCACAGCTGCCGAGGATAACGACAGAAGCAGGTCTTGTTTTTCCAGCTTTTATGAAAATTAATAACATTAATAGCTCACAGACATAGACAAACACACACACATTGCTATATACAGTCATTAAGTTATTAATTAGTCTCTGTATAAAACATCTCTGCATTAGTGTTGGGCTTGGCCCGGCCAGTCCTTGGCATATTCACAGTAGCAGCCCCAGGGCTGGGCCTGGGCAGCAGGTGGGCAGACGGGAGGGCAGCTATAGGCCTGCTCGGCCCGCCCTGCGATGGGTACGAGAGGTGTCCCGGGCCTGTCCCTCTTTCACTCTCCTCCTGGCACCTGGAGACTGTTCAGTGCGCGAGCACACACGCCCGATTCCTCGTGTGGCCGGGAGTCCCAGGCCATGGTGGGTGGCTTCGGCAGCACGCAGGCCCTAAAGGATGCTGGCCAGCTCTGTGGAGTCCGTGTCGGAGCAGCCGGAGCTGCTGGCCTCTTCTCTGCAAGAGCCAGAGGAGACAGGTTGGAGGATCGGCCTTACCTCTGCTCCACCTGCTTCACACACCGCATCGGCCACTCCTGGCAGCTCACTCCCACTTTCAGCTCTGAAACAGCTGGCTGCTCTGTTCACTGTTCTTTCCCCCACTCCTTGTGGAGTTAGAGATGGAACCTGGTCACAACCACCAGGCCTACCCCTAATGGTGTTCCTGCTGCCCACAAGAACATACTCTGGCCTGAGCGGGCTGAAGAACCAGTATGATTTGCTTCAGCCTGCCCTCTGGTCTTCTGAGGGGCTGGGCTGCGACCATATCTGATGTCCTGTACACCAGGCCAGCCCTGCAACAGGCCAGCTCTGGATCTGAGCTCTACCCCTTAGCAACAGGGCCAGTCCCTCTTGTTGGCTCAGCTTCCGCTTCTTCATCTGCAGAATGAGAATCAGGAATCCCTGACGGCCAGACTTGTTGGAGGACTAAAGGGGATGACGACTGCAGGGTCCCTGAAACAAACTCCGTGGGGCAGGGGTCTGAGCTTGTTTCAGCCGTTAGGGCAATGCCTGGAACACTCTGGGTTTCCAATGAGTCACTGTGAGACGAGGATGTAAGACCACTCTGCACAGTACCCGGCATGCAGCTCAGTGTGTAGCCAGGGAGATGGCTCAAAGGGCTGGAGCACATGCTCTGCATGTCAGAGCCCCAGGTTCCATCCCAATACCACACGATCCCCCAAGCACTACTGCCAAGCAATCATCCCGAGCACTATGTTTTGAGTAGTCCCCAAGCACCACTGGACGTGGCACAAAAAAGGAAAAGAAATGGACTGTGAGCTATTGTCTGGAGATGTGGCTCAACAGTAGGACACCTGCCTCCCACTCACGAGACCAGGGCTCCACAAAAGAGAGATAGTACAGCAGGTAGGGCGCTTGCCTTGCACATGGCCAACCCAAGTTTGAGCCCTGGTATCCCATGTGGTCCCAAGCGCAGAGTTGGGAGTAAGCCCTGTGCACTGCAAGGGGTCGCCCCCAAACCCAAAGATTAAAAAAAAAAGGAATGGTCAGGGGTTGAAGCGACAGGGGTTGGGCACTTGCCTTGCATGCAACCTGGGATGGATTCCCTGACATCCATTATGGTCCCCCAAGTACCACCAGGAGTAATTCCAGAGTGCAGAGCCAGGAGTATGCCCTGAGTATTGTCAGGTGTGGCCCAAAATAAAAAAATTAATAATAAAAAATGAAAAGAACTGTCAGCTGCCTTTCCTGCGAACAGTGAAGGGGCACAGGCAGCCTCTAGGGAGGGACCACGTGGACTAGCCACAGGAGCGAGTGGAGGGCGTGAATGTTGTGACTGCCCGCCCACCCCATCACCTCCCAGCGGCCCCTGCTCTCACCTCAGAGCCTGCAGAGCCTTCTTGTTCTGCCGCCGCTTCTCCTCGTCAATAGGGTACAGCTTGAAGAGCAGCAGGCCTAGCAGGATGAGGACTATGGGGGTCAAGGTCACCAGCATCTTTAGTGTAAACTTGACCTGCACCGGTTGTGAGCAGCCACGTGTCTGGTACCCAGCAAAGCTGTGGGATCAAGTGGGCCGGGGAGAGATGAGAGGGGATATCTGGCTCTGACCGCGCTTGGCCCTGCCACAGGCTCCCCACCCCGCACTCACTCAAGACTGAGAGTGGAGACGCCCAGTGAGATTCCGGAGGCGAACTTGGTGAAGAAGACGTAAAAGGAGAAAAAGATGGGCTCAGTGCCATGGGCCAAGGGCTGCTTCAAGTGGAAGTCGTCAATGACATCGGGCAACATGGACCTGCAGAGAGTGAGGGCAGCTGAGAGGATCGCCCAGGCCTCTGTCTGAGGGGAGGTCACTGCATGGAGTATGCCACCCTAGGGCACAGGCCCTCTGAGGAGAAGCGGCCCACTCCGGCCCTGGTACCCTCACACAGTTCACAGCCTGAACCGCCATGCAACCCCCATCTGGACCCAGAGGTTGGCCTACCTGGAAGTCTCTCAAGGGGCAAGGGCAGGGGTCCCGGGGGGTGGCCCAGAGATACTCACCAAGGTAGTAGGAAGGCAGCAGCGACACTGATGCCAGCTGCCACCGCCACCACGTAAGTGACAATCAGGTTACTCTCGATGAGGGCCACCAAGATGAGGAAAGGCACTGCAGACTAGGGGGGAGTAGATGTGGGGAGGTGAGTCCCTCAGAAGGTTCCCACCACTGAGAGTCCCCCCCAGCCTGGTGGTCCCCTCTGCCCCACTTACCGAGATCCCAACATACACAGCTGTCTTCTTGCCAAACCGGGTTAAGAACCACTGCCAAAAGGGAATGGTGAGTGTGGCCGAGATCTGTGGGTAGACCAAGGGGAAAGGCAGGTGGGTTTGAGCCCTGCCACCACCCCTCCTGCCCTTCTCAGAACCCCAGAGGTATTTCCCGTCCTGCCCAGCACCGTCTGGTATCCAGGAAGCTGACTGGCAGAGCCTAATCACTTCCTGCTGTTCAGGAAGTTCCAGAGGGCTCAGCCTCCACACGTGTGCTTTGCTCTGTCCTCAATCTGAACACCTACCTCAAACTCTGTCCTCTTTCCTTTTTTTTTTTATTTAATTTCTTCCTTTTAAAATCTTTTTTAATGCACTCTAGGGGTTGAACCCATCGCCTCAGACATGTCACGCATGTATTGAGTCATTTCCTGACCACCCAACTCTTTCATTTTCCAGTGGTGACAGATCACATAGTGTTAGTTTCTGGTAATGTATGTACCAAAACCTTTTCTTTCTTAGTCGTATCTACTAAGCAGTTAAAGGTCAGGGTCAGCCAAGAATCCTCCACTGTGGATGTGGGCCTGTCTGGGCCTATCTCTGACTCTTCATATAGAACCATTGCCCACCCCAGACTACTAAAGCCCGGGCTACCTGCCCACCCTCGGGGTCCCATACGCACCATGATGGCCAGGAGTAGATTCTGGAACTCATTCCGGAAGCCCAAAGTGTAGGTGCAAAACAAGGCGAAGTTTCCCTCCACGAGCTGGGGATAGGGCAAACAGGAACAGGTGAGAGTGATGCCCCGCTTGCGCGTGCCCCTCTGAGGGACTCTGTCCCCCCCAGACACTCCTGCTGTCCCCCAGGCTTTGTCCCATCCTGACCCTGTTCCCAGTGCAAATCAGGCCCCGACTCACCATGAAAGCCAGTGAGGTGAAGAGGAAGGCAGCAATCAGCTTGATGTATGGGCCATGGCTCATGACCAGCCGGAGACCCCGAAGGTAGGACACGGATTCAGCCTGCCGAGCCTCATAGGCTTCTGAAGGGGCAGAGAGGACAGTGAGGAAGATCCAGAGGCCTGTTTACGCATGCAGAGGAGACCCAGACAGAGGGACCCGGCTGCTTGGTGCTGGTGCCTGTACCCCTCCCCAGAGGGCCTCACCTCTCTGCTCCCGCACGCCCAGGGTGAGGATGACAGCACAGATGACGTAGATGGAGGCGATGACGCCCGCCGCCAGCAGGTAGGCATTTTTCTAGAAAGGCGAACAGAGACAGTCGTGTGATTTCAGCTAACTCTCTGTGGCGGCACCTTCTCCCTCTGGAAAATGGGAGAGAAACAGGGCCCATGCTACTACCCAAGGTACTAAGGCCCAAGAAGTGAGAAGTCCAGAAGCCAAGCTGCAAAGTCAGAGAGCCCCCAGCTGTTCAGATCTCCCGCCTGGCATCCTCCCCACTCACTGGCTCTCTGGGCCTGGGCAAGTTCTTCTGCCGCTCTCGGCTGGATCCCTTCTCTGCTCAGTCAAGCACTGACCGGCCTGTCTGGCACCCCACATGCAATGACCACGGTGAGGGTAATGCCCACCACCCTCACCTCCCCGACTCCTGCCCTGCGGAGGGCGCTCACCGTTTCTCTGGGTGAGGTGATGTTTGTGCGGTTGGTGGATGTCGAATTCTGGACACAAGGCGTATCCGCTTGGCCCACAATCTGTCCCTGGATGGCTGTGCCCAGCACCGAGCCCAGGACCTCCACAGTCATCCCTGCACAGTGAAATGGAGATCTCTGGGGGGGGGAGCCTCATAACTTGAGAGCTCCCCAGAGAAGGTCAGCTGTGACCTAGTCACGGTGATCGTGGCAGATAGGGTGGCATATAGGAATATAGGGCATGAGGTTGATGGCATCTTGGTCTCAACACATGGGCTTGCTGTGCGACCTCTGACTAATTCCTATACCTCTCTGGTCTTACCAGTGCAAGAAGAGGATGGAATTTTTTTTTTGGTCATTTTGAGGTCACGCTCCGTAGTGCTTGGGTGCACAGGACCCTGAGCCATTTTCCCAGCTCAGACTGCGCTATTTTTAAGATGGTCTCATCTCCAAGAACAGAGCTACAACTAGGCCACACAGAAAGTGAGACGGCGGGAGAGAGGGGACTGGGATGCAGGGGAGGGCACTCACGATAGGCAGTGGCCGAGTCCCGCTCGCTCTGTTCCGTGCTGATGAACATGGTGAGTGCTGAGTAAGGAACGTGGAAACACTGGTACAGAAGAGAGGCCCGGGGCCAGTCAGACATGGCCAGAGAGGCCCCAGGGACTGCCCTCAGCCCTGCCCCCAGACACCCAGGGCAGCCCCACTCACCGTGACCAGTGACTGAAAGAGACAATAGAAAATCAGGTACCACAGCCACTCGCCCTGTGGGAAGTCAGGCACGAACCAGATGAGGAAGTAGGCAATGATGGCCAGGGGCGTGGAAAAGATGATCCTGAGGAACGGGAGGGTCTGAATGGGGGGGTGGAGGCCACCCCAGATTCCTCACAGCATACCAGGGAAAAGGAAATGCCTCCCCTGAATCCATCCGTGCTAGGGCCCCCAGGAAGATGCTGATGGGACTTCCCAGGAGGGCTGGTTGGGACAGATCCCACAGGCCTCTCCTCAACACTGCATCTCAAAGCAGATCCTACCTATGGGCTGGGGAACTGAGAACAGAGGCCGCAACCTCACAGGGCAGGAAGGAGTGAGCCCAACACATGTTCATGCGTGCTCATGCATGCATGCACACAACGTGGGTGGGAAGGGCAGCTCTGAACAAAGGCATTCCTTCTGGGGAGATGACTAAAGGGGGCAAACGTCTGCCCTTTGGACCCCACCTCATCACAGTGCTCAGAGCTCATTTCCCGCGTCAGTAAGGGCGGCACTGTGCAGTGGTGCGAGGCATTGGGAACCACACTCTAGAGGTCTATCCTGAGATCCGTCACTAAATCTGTTTCTCAAAGTGGACAGAGGTAGGGAGGGGTCCAGTAGCCTTGGAAGGTGCTGTTCATTTGCTTAAAGATGGTAGATCTCTGGGGCTGAGGTGGTGGTGGGTGGCAGTAATTTTTTTTTTTTTCTGAAAGAGGACAGAGGGACCCCTTGCCTGCTCAAGCACTACTGGCTGTAGCCCTGGGCACCGCTGGATGGTCCTGGTAGACAGTGGCACTGCAGAGGGCCAAATACATTTGGGAATTTGTGAACTAACTGGATGTTGGGCAAATTGTTTAACTTCTCTGAGGCTTATTTTCTCATCAGCAGAATGAGAATACTATTAGCACCTGCCTTCCATTCAGCATTTGCTCAAGAAACAGTTAAGCAGCATCTGTGAGCAGAGCACTGATCTAATTTCCTGGGGTGCGTTAGGGAACAGAGCAAACAACAGGGAATGTCTGTGGAATGTGTATCCTATTCAGCAAGTGGAAGCCCAACACAACTCAAAAGGTATATGCAGGGGCGAGAGAGAGAGGACAGTGGGGAGGGGGCTTGTCTTGCCCTGAGGCCAACCTGGATTCGATCCCCAGCAACCCATATGGCCTGCCAGGAGTGATCTCTGAGTACAGAGTCAGGATTAGTCCTGAGCACTTCTTGGAGCGTGTAGTAAAATAAATAAATGAGTACATATATGCATTACTCAGTCTTTTAAAAAATGAAATGGAATTCAGGGTTCAGAGGACTACAACAGGGGTGAGGATGCATTCCGTATATAGTGCCCAACCCTCAGTTTACCCTTGACACCATTTGGCTGCCCAACCACCACTGGGTGTAGCCCTGTATGCCCTGGGCACCGCTGGGTGGTAGCACTGCAGAGTTTGGGCAGCATTGCCTTCACATTGAGCTGTCCAGTCCAATTGGCCCTGAATAACTGGGAGTAGATGAACTTTGAGGACATGAGGGGGAAAGAAATGGGCCATATACAAAAGAAGCTCTTCTGTGAGTTGCTTTTATTTTACACTTAGCCAAACTCATAGGACTGGGGGAAGATAGAATTTTCTAGGCATAGTGGGATAATGATGGAGAGGGAAGATTAGGAATTCGTTTTGAATGGGTACAGAGTTTCAGCTCAGGAAGGTGAAAAAGCGCTTGGGATGGGATGGTAGAGATTGTCAGACAACAGTGTGAAGATGCTGAATGCTACTGAGCAATATGCTTAAAATGAACTTTATCTTTTTTCTTTTTTTTTTGGTTGTTTGCAGTGCCAGGGATTGAACCCAGGGCTCACAGGTACAAGGCAGGACTCCACTGAAGACGCACATTCCTGGCCCTCAGTGGTACGCTTTATCTTCAGTATATTTTACCACAGTTCTTATTTGCATGTTTGGTTGAGGGCTTTTTGTTTTTTGTTTTATGAAGCAAAATAGTTTTACTGAAATAAATTTAGTTAGAGAAGTATGAGGGGAGGGGGCCAGAGAAATAGTGCGTAAGGTGATGGCCTTGCACTTGGTTCACCTGAGTTCGATCCCCTGCATCCCATACGGTCCCTAGAGCACTGGCTGGAGTGATTCCTGAGTGCTGAGCCAGATGTAACCCCTGAGCATTGCCAGGTGTGGCCCCCAGCACACACAAAAAAATTGAAGTATGAGGGGAGAAAAAGAAAGAGGAGGGAGGGGACATATTCAAGAGGAAAAAGTGGGTTTCTCCCAGTGGGAAAAAGGCTTGGTTTTCATTTTCATTTTCTGAGCTATACCCAGTGGTGCTTGGGGGACCCTCCTGATTCCTTGAGGGACTATGTGGGATCAAACCAGGGGCTCCCACACGTGAAGCATGTGCTCGCTCTAGCCTGCAGCACTAGCTCTCAGGTCCCATAGCCACAATTTTAATAAAACTGTTATCTGTGACAGTAGCACTGCACTGCACTGTCCTCCCGTTGTTCATCGATTTGCTCGAGCGGGCCCAGTAACGTCTCCATTGTGAGACTTGTTACTGTGTTTGGCATATCAAATACACCATGGGGAGCTTGCCAGGCTCTGCCTTGTGGCCGAGATTCTCTTGGTAGCTTGCTGGGCTCTCCAAGAGGGACAGAGGAATCGGATCCGGGTCGGTCGTGTGCAAGGTGAGCACCCTACCTGCTGTGCTATTGCTCCAGCCCAACTGTGACAGTACCTAAACTAAAAATAGTACAACATTTTTTAAAAAACAAGGGTCTGAAGAGATAATACTGGGGATAGGGTATTTGCCTTCCATATACCAAACCTCGGTTCAATCCCCAGCCCCATTTTGGTTCCCAAACACTGCTAGGAGTAATCGCTAAATGCAGGTCCAGGAGTAAGCCCCCCAAAAAAATTTTAAAAAAATTTAAAAGTCATACACACACACACACACACACACACACACTTAACAGGACAGGGGTGTGGCTCAGCAGCAGGCCTGATACCTTACATAAGGTCCTGAGTTCAATCCCTGACACTGCCAAAAAAATAAAGTTATATAACATTAGGAGGCAAGTGAAATCGAGAAAAGAATTCAGGCCAAAGGGGATTTGGAACAGGAGTGCGCAATTCACTTTCTCTCACTAAGAAAGTGACATTCGTGCCAAGGTTTGGCTGAGGAGGGAGCTGGCCACACACTCCGAGGGAAGAAAAGGGCAGCCCAATGGGACTTTCATCGCAAAAGGTCCCTAGCGGGGGGAGGATGCCAGCAGTCTGATGAATTGCCAGAAGGCCCAGTGGGGAGACAGGAGAGAGTATGAAAGGACTGAAGGGAAGTTTGAGAGGAAATGGGATACCAGGCCATATAGGGTCTGACAGTCTATGATAAGGGACTTTGGCTCTCCTTCATTGGGTTGAAGTAGGGTTTTTTGTTTTTTGTTTATTTGCGTCACACCCAGTGGTGCTCAGGGCTTAACCCTGGGTCTGAACTGAGGGTTCTCTCCTTGCGGGGCTCAGGGCACCATATGTGGTATTGCAGGAGGGACTGATTCCAGGGCAGCCACGTGCGAGGAAAGAGCCTAACACCCTGGACTATCTCTCTGCCCAGGGTTGACGCAGTTTTGAGAATTTAAGTAAGTTGACATTAAAACATAGAAAATAAGGCCAGGGCAATAGCTCAAAGGGCTAGGTGCACATGCCTAGCATGCAGGAGGCCCTGGGTTCAATCCTCAGCACTGTCTGTTCCCCAGGCATTGCTGGATTTAGTCCTGGTGGCCCCAACACTGCAGGTCCCAAATAGCACTGTATCATCAGACCCTAGTAATGAGCTACCCAGCTCCTACTTCCTGGCAGTTTTCACAAGGAGTGACCTCTGGGGTCCCCTATGAAAATGCTTGGGAGGCCCAATGTACAAAAATAATTATTTTCAGCTAAAAATAACATAGGTCAATGGGCTGAGTGCATGCTTTGCATTCACTGTTGGGAGTGATCCCCAAACACAGAACTGGGAGTAGCATTGAGCCCCTGCAAGGTTTGGCCCCAAAACAAAAAAAAACAAAAAGTATCAGGTGACAGTGTTTGTTCGCTGTGACCCAGGAAAAACTCAGCGGTCCTATATAAGCCTGGGGACAGGGATCAGAGCCTTGCATCTCGCATCTCCGCTGCCTCTCTTTAGGCCTCTGAACTGCAGGGACAGCATCTGTCTTTCTGTACTGAAAGGGGGAGGTTTAGATGCTCACAAACAGAGGGGCTTGGTCTGAGAGCCAGGAGGAGAAAGACCCACAAGGTTCTGGAACCCCAAAAAGGCAAAGCTCCTCCCCACACTAAAAGGAGATGGACGGCCTGCGGGTCCCGGGTCCCAAGGGTGTCGAGGTCAGGGAAGAAGTCCCTAGCCCACAACTGATCCAGCCACACCCAGACACGGGGTGGGGGGGCACCCCTCAAGCGCAACCATCGGGAGTTCCCAGCGGACAGGTGAGGACTTGCACCCCCACGCGGTGCAAATCAGGAATCAGCCTGCGGGGCCCTCGGCGACTGCACGAAGAGACGTGGCCCTACCTGCCTGGCAGAGGCCCTCAGAGCGTCCTTCCCACGGGGAGGGCCTCGCCCCCTCCTCCCCCGCCCCCCCTCCCCGAGGCCACGTGTCGTGTCTCCGCAGAGAATCAGGGCTCCTGTCACAGCCTCCCCGAACGAACGCTCCATCCTCTCCAGTCGGGCAGCTGAACAGCCCACAGGGAGGCATCACAGTGTCTGGGAGTAACCCGGGCGCTGCTGGGCAGGGCTGGCCCCCGCGGTCTGTCGGCTCCCATTGGCTGTTCCTCATGAGGCGATGTGGCAGCACAGCCCCGCCTCCCACCAGCTGCCAGGAAGGCGGGTACAGGGCCAGGCCTCCTGCGTTGGCTTGCTTGAGTTCCAAGCAACCCGCCCAGGTAGGCTGGTTCCCTGGCACTGGCCCTGAAGCCCGGATCAAAGGCCCCAATTTGGGCCTGAGCCAAGGGTGGGCGGGATTGTGCTGGGAGGGGGACCTCGTGGGAAAGGAAGCTGTTGGGGGACCGGAGACTTGGGGGAGAGCTTTGAAGGCCGGAGATCAGGTATGGGCACCCCTGGGGCAGGAAGGCGCCCACTCGTGCCTGGATGGGCTGGAGATGAAAGGGGTATGTCCCCCCCCTTTACCCAGCAGGATGTCCTGGAGGGAACTGGAGCTCCCGCCGGTCAGACTGTCCGGTGGGGCTCCTTTGCTGTCTGATGGGGAACCACCACCCCCACCTCGCCCCAAAACCCAAGGCTCAAGAGAGCCAGTCCTGTGCCAACGGGAAAAGATAATTCACCTCATCTTTTCGGGGGGGGGGGGGCGGGCAGAGATTATGGGTGTGTGAGGTTTTATTACCTCCGCCCTGGCTCTACCAGAAGTCACTCTGAAGGGTGCCAAAGGAGATAGCGCTTACTCTGTGCCAGGCACGATTCCGAAAGCACATAAAGAGACAGTTCATCCTCACCACACCGGGGCGGGCGAGGAGGAATGATCACCCCCTTCCTGTGGAAGAAACCTGAGGCTCGGTGACATCAGGTGACCACTGAACAGAGTGACACAGGACTCAAGCCTCTCAAGCATTAACACAGTGCACCTCTGCCACGTGGGGAGTGATAATACAAGAAGCAGAGCCCAGCCTGATGGAAGGGAATGGACCCTGGGGAGCAACCAGGCTGGGCAGTCTGGCAGTTTGGCCAGCCTGGGGATGAACTGGCAGCCCCCCCCCACACCCCCCCCCCCCCCCCGGTGCACAAACCTAGGGCAACTGAGGCCTCAGCTGGGATTTCAACATTCTGGGTTTGGTAACATCATTCCTTCTTACTCTCCCACTCGTGACAAGTCAGATGGAAGGACTGATGATATACCAAAAGTCGCATCTACTGCCGCTTGAAGGAGACTTTCTTACTTACCAGGGCATGAGGCGGCCCAGGGGGGTCCAGGAGGACTTGTTGATGCAGAAGCCCACCAGGGGGTCTGTGAAGGCATCCCAAGCGCGGCCCACAAATAGGATGATGGAGGCATAAAAAGGGCTCACCTGGAATGCGGAAGAGGGAAAAGTTGACCTCTTCCTCCTTCTCCCCATCTCAACCCTCACAGAAGCAGGGGACGCCCTCCCCACCTCACCTATGGCCTCTTTACTAGGTCTGTTAACATGCAGTAAAAGTTCCTGCTAGGGATACTGTGTCTTCTTAGAAAGCCGCCAACTCTAAAGTCCTCCCTTCCACTGCCCTTGAAAACACTCCCTTAATTAGAGTGAATCCAAGACCACGGCTCACCTTCCTCAGTGTTCAAACACCTGAAATCCCAACTAGCATTTTGCTGGACGGACAGAGCTGGCCACATTTTCCCCATCTGTATAAAGAGGAGCTGTGATCCCTATTTTACAGGGTCAAGCTGTTATCTTGGATGTGAAAAAGGACCCCTATAACTGCTTTTAAAACGTGGTCTTGGGAAGGAGCGAGGGAGACCACTCAAGGAGCTAGTACTCAAGCGTTCCAAGTTGGAGGCCCAAAGTCCATCCCCAGCACCAAATGGTCCCCTGAGCATTGCCAGGGGTTACCCTCCAGGAATAGACCCTGAGCATCAACAGGTGTGGCCCCCCAAAAACAAAGAAACAAAAACATGGCTTGGGGCAGAGCGCCTCAAAGGGCTAGTGCACATGGCTTTACATGAGAGAAGACCAGTTTGATCCCTGGAACCACCTGGTTCCTGGAGCACCATGAGGAACTGCCCCAAAACACAGTGCCAGGAACAGCTCCAAGTACTTCCCGACAGTCTCCCCCGTACCTCCCCCACCCCTCCAAGTGACCTGGAACTGAATAGGTGGTTTAATAGTAAAAAATAAGCCTGAATGACCAATGACCAAGGTCCTGGGTCCAATCTCCCAGCATTGGACTGCACCCCTCCCCTCAGCACCAACTAAAAAAAGGGGTCTAGGGCTAGAGAGACAGTACAGGGGTTAAGGTGCTTGCCTTGCACACAGTTGACCCTGACACCACATATGGTCCCCTGCCAGGAGTAAGCCCTGCCAAAAAAATTACATTTAGGGCAAGAGAAACAGTACAGCAGGTAAGCACTTGCCATGAACGTTAACAACCCAGCTTCGATCCCCACACCCCATGCAGCCCCCTGAACCCCACCAGAAGTGATCCCTGAGCACAGAGGTAGAAGTAAGGCCTGAGCACTTAGGCCAGCTTCTCTGGGCTCTGGCCCTTCTCCCAAGGTCCTGTCACTGCTGCTGTTGCGACAAGCTGGGAAGTCAGCAGCTCCTTCCACGCTGAGGTCTAACACCCGAGACTCCAGTTTCACCCTCCAAACACAGGTTCCTCGTGTTCGTGCCTCACTCAGGGCCTGGCCCAGGGGAGTTGCTCAAAAATGAGCTGAGGTCTGGAGATATAGCACAGGGGTTAGGATGCTTGCCTTGGACTTGGCTGACCTTGGTTAGATCTAGGCGCTGCATTCAGTCCCTAAGCATGGCCAAGAACAACTCCTGAACACCTAGTTGGAAATAGCCGTTAGGCCCTAAAACTACCAACCCTCCCCCCCCCCAAAAAAAAAAAACTAGCCAAGGACTATACAGATATCTCAGTGGATTAAAGGATATGCTTTACATGCAAAAGCCCCCTGGTTCAATCCCTAAAATCACCTTGTCCTTCAGCTCTGCCAGGAACAACCCCTGAGCACTGAGCGGGGAGTAGGCCCCGAGCACTCCCAGGTATGGCCCCAAAATTAACAAAAGAAAAAGCTAACTGAATGATGGTTTGGACGCAGGAAACCCGGTAGTTCACTCCCCAGAACACCACCAGAAACAACCCCCAAGCACAATACACACCACCGTGGGTGGCCCCCAAACTAAAAACACTAGATGAATGAAGTCATTTCTCTATTCTGGGCCTTAGGGTTCCCAACTACAAAAAGAAGCCACCCAGATGCCTTGCTTGCAAAATCAGATTCTGCAGCGCAAAGACAGCACTCCTGTTCAGACAAGGTAAATTCTCAGGATGCCCAGTTGCTGAACAAGGCTTCTTAAAGTACAGGGGAACCCCACTTCATTCTGTGGATCCATGCCACTCAAAGACTTGATACACTGAGGCCCCTAATTTAGTCCAGCTCTGCCATGCCTGTGTGCCACAGGTAGAAGTGGATGCACTTCTGTCATAACCTGGTGATATCCACCGCCCCTGAGCTAAGCCAGCTTACTGCTGTCCAGCCAAGGACACGGTATGCCGGCCTCTGCTCAGAACACCACCAGAGTGGCTTTGGTGCTCTTGCCCACCAGGGTGGAAAGACTCCCCCCTCGGGCTCCTTTCAAAGCCTTCTTACATCTCATCTGCTGTGATACTGAGCAAGCAGGGATTTCCTGCCCCCTGTCAGAGGAGGAAACCGAACCAGCCTCCCCTGGAATCCTCAGTCTTTCCCACACGGGATATACCGAAAGGGCCCTGGCAGGCCCTGCCCACTCACCTGAGCCACATCCAATAGATAGATCTGCAGGAAGAACCCCAAGGCACAACCTGTCACCTGGTAGGGGGCTCCCCCAACTGCATAGCACAGCTTATTGCAGATGGACAACTGTTGTTTCTTCTTTGGTTCTTTCTGCAAAGAAGAGAAAAGAATGAGAAGAGACCCAAGATCCTCAGGGTTCCAGAGATTCAGAGGGACCTGCCCTCTATGGGCACAGCAGGTAGGGCGCTTCACCTTGCACATGGCTGACCCAGATTTGATCCCCAGCATTATATATGGTTGCCTGAATCCCGCTGGGAGTGATCCCTAAGTGCAGAACCAGGAATAAGCTCTGAACACTCAAAAAGAAAAACAAAAAAAGAACCCGTTCCCTAGTCAACCATGCCTAGGGGAATAAATCTGCTTTGTCCTGGTCCCACCCAGAGAGATCCCACTTCCCACAGGCAAGTATTCTCTGCTCTTAGGAACCTAGAAAAGGGGGGGGGGGGTGCTAGGTTCCTTTCAAAGATGGAGGGGTAGGAGACCAGAGCAGTAGTACAGTGGGCAGGGCACTTGCCTTGCACACCACCAACCCAAGCTGGATCCGATATGGTCCCGAGCCCACCAGAAGTAAGCCCTGAGCACAGCAGGAAATAACACCCCAACACCACCACCACCACTGCCCCCCCCAAAAAAAATTCAAACACTGGAGGGGCAACATGCACCGGCAGAACTTTCTCCACGCGGTGCCAGCTGCCACAACCTGAAAATCCTCTAGCTGCCAAAAGCTGGCTGAACCCAGCCCTAGCCCCCACCCTGGCTCAGGGGCAGGAGACACCTGCCTGCTGGGTGAGGGCTCTAGAGAGCTGGAGGGGCCCAGTCCCTGCTGGCTGCAAGCACAGCTGTTCTTTCCATCTGTCTCCAAGCGTCCCTAACCCCTAGGGACACCCAGGGCTTCAGGAAACCCTGGAGCTACCCCCCACCCCCACCCCACCCCAATCCGCGGCTCCTAGGGGAGTTACGAGCAGTCTCTCTGGGTGGGGCATCAAGGAGGGATTACTCATACTTAGTAGCAGCATAATTGTTCTCCCCGGTTTCCAAGTTAATAAAATTAAAAGAAAAGGCGAGAAGGAGAGTGTCGCCGCGGGCAACCTCCTCCGTGTCCCCCACCCCACCCCACCCCCCACCCCGCGCCCCCGCTGGCAAAGTCTACGGCAGGGCTCCCTCCTCCCTAGGGCCAAACGATTTTATCCGGTTCTTCGTTTCACCTCGAGAAGGAGCGAAGGTGAAGACACAAAACCTACCACGCGGCGCCACCGCGCTCACTCCTCCGGGGCGGGAAGAGTCCGGCTCCTTTAAGAGCAAGAGCCCTTGTTCTTATGAATGAACGAGAGCGGCCCGGGCAGCGTAGAGAAGGGAATGGGTGTAAGCATGTGGCGCGGGGAGTACGGGGTGAGAGATGGGAAACCAAAAGCGGGGAATCCCCCCCCCCACCCCACCCCCGATCTCAGAAGTCTCTCGAGTATTCTGGGAAGCGAACCCACGCCGCCGGTAGCAGAAAAGCGGAACACAGCCGAGGCACCAGCGCCGGGCACCAGCGCAAGCTGCGGGAGAAAGCGCTCCACCGAGACGGAGTGGGCACCCGGGGGGCACCGGCGCCCACGGACCTTCCCCATCACCCCCTGCTCCAGGGCACCCCCCCCCCCCCCGGGGCCTCCGCCTCCTCGTGGGTCCGCTCGTGCTCGGCTAGCCCCCGGGATCCCGGCACCCAGCCTCTCCGCGGGCGCGCCCCTCTCGACCTGCCCGCCTCCCCCTGACCCTCCTCCACGCGGGGCGCGGGGCACGCACCGTCTTCACCTGGGCCGGCCGTTCACCAGTCTGAAGGATGCCGGTGGGCAGCAGTCCGGCTGCGGACCCGCTCTCGGCGCCCTCGCCTTTGGCCATGACCCGCGGGCCACGCCGCCTGGCACCGGGACCCCGGGATGCAGCTGCGCTCCGCGGGCCTCCTGCGTGCCGGGAGCTGCCTGGGCGCCGCCGCCACGGCCCCGGTCTGCGCGACGACACCCGAGCAGCGGCGCGGAGCAGCGCTCTCTGCCACACACGCCCCCTCGCGCCTCTTAAAGGTTCGGCGCGGCCCTTCCGAGCCAGCCAATCGCGAGGCCGCCTGGCGCCGCCAGCCAATCGGCGCGCCGCCAGGGTCAACCGGCGGCGCTGCGCTCTGCCACCGCCACGTTCCCAAAGCCCCGGAACCGGCACCCGCCTGCGCGCCCCAGGCTGGCCGGCCGGCTCAGCAGACGCGCTCACCAGACAGACCCACGCGAGCCAAGGGCGACCCAACGCGACCCGCTCGGAGTGAGTTCTTCCCACGTCGGACGGCAGCCTGTGGCTTCTGACCGCCAGGCCTGGGAAGATGGGGGGCTCAGATGGACGGCTGCCCCCCCCCCCCCCCCCCCCCGCTTTACAATCCAGTTCAGGGCTACGGAGACGGCTCTATGGGCTGAGCTCATGCTTTGCAAGGCAGGAGGCCTGATTTTGATCCCCTGCATCGTATGACTCAAATCCCCTCCTATGCACCCCAGCACAAAGCCAGGAGTAGCCCCAGAGCGCCGTTGGCTGTAGTCCATAAAATAGTAATTATGATAACAGTGATAATAAATACGATTCAAGTTAGGATCTGAGAGCCAAAAGGGCTGGACTGTGTGCCTCGCATGCACGAGGCTCCACTTTTCATCCTCTGTTCAATATGGGTCACCAAGCGCCTCCGGGTGTAGCCCTGGTGGCCCCTAAGCACCACCAGGTGGCCCTGGTAGTCCCCAACACTGAATTTTCAGGTCTACACTTCCTGGCAAGTGTCTTTGGGAATGGTGCGCTCGCGTGCGTGTACACACACACACACACACACACACACACACACCTCAAAACCACTGGGTGACTCCAGAAACAGTTTAAAATAAAATTGGGGGCAGAGCAATAGTACAGAAGATAGAGCACATGCCTTGCATGGGCGATCCTGATTCAGTCCCCCGTATTCCATATAGCCTCCTAGCATGGCCAGGGGTAACCCCTGAGCAGTGCCAGATGTGGCCAATTCACCCCACTCCACACACACACAAATTTTTTTTTAAGAAAAACTAAAGACCAGTCCAGTCTCACTTTCTTCCAAACCCCAGCATCAGTAGCACTAACATTGTCCCTATCAGTCACTCTCTCCCATCCTCCAAGATTAATCATCCCCTCTTCCTGCCATTGACATCATGGGGGCCATTAATAATGAGAAGCAAAGAGAACACGGTGACTGGCCCTGCTGGCAGGAAGCTCCCAAGGACTTGAAAAGAGACTGGTGCATGGCCCCAGTTCATTAGGACAGTGACAATGGCCTTTTAGAGGCACTGCCTGACCCCCTACGAGTGGCAAGTGTTCTTGTGGTCAGTTTACAGCAGAGAAAAAGGAGGTTTAGAAAAGTAAAATAGTTTTGGGGTGGCAGAGCCAGGCCATGGAGATTCTGTCAGATTCCAAAGCTGTCCTCTTAGCAGCCATGCTCTGTCCTCTCAGCACAAAATGATCAGAAGGCTGAATGAAGTACAGGTGTCTCCCCAGCAAGAAAACAGTGCAGTTCCCATGGCAACCTGGGTTTAAATAACAAGGAAGGTCTTGAAACAGAGCGTACAGAGCAATCTGGTCCTGGACAGACGATGGAAGAACATTAGTCTGGGGCATAGGTCAAACGCCCATGCCAGCAGACTGTCTACTCAACTACCTCTGGGCCCTTTCAGCCACTAGCACCCCCAGGCTACCTGTATCCTCATGAGATCAGCTAGAGTCAAGATGGCCCTGATTAGTAAAGGGGCTACATGAATTTTCAAAGACCACTCACCCTCTTAGGGGGGTCACTCAATGTCAGGCTCCTTTTTCCTTCAAATCTCTGAGTACAAGGAAGAGACAGGAGGTCAGTCTGCCAGGGGTGTCCATACGAAGCTTTCCATGTCCCTTTGCAGAGGTCATCTTGGCATCCAACCCCAAAGAGAATCCCAATGAAGCACGTGCATTCTGTGGGAAGGGCTTGCCCTGACCTCGGAATTTCTCCAGGCACCAGTGACATGGAATTGGCTCTTGTGTGACATGGGCTGGAGTTGAAGCTTCCTTATAGCCCTCAAACCTTCACTCTTATTGGATTATTTGTCAGACCAGGAGCTTATGGAAGGTGAGGAAGTACATCTCTGACATTGCTGCTTCCACTAACCTGGGGCCCGGCTCACAGTAGGAACTTAATGACTGTGTTCACTGATGCCTGTGTGGTCTTCCTCCGCAGAAAACACAAGAGGGATCCATTTGGAAAAGCCTCGCATTCCTTCCTTTAACTAGGTATGTGCTTGATCCCGGGCAACTCAGTTAACCTGTCTGTGTAAAATAGGATGGTTAATAATGATCACCTGATTTGTTTGTTTGTTTGTTTGGCGTGTGAAAGAAAAAATATGCACACACAAAAAAAAATGCTCAGCACCAGTGCTTTGGAGCTGAGGCTGGGCTGGTCCCCCTCCTGGCCAGATTCCAATGTGCCAGTGTAGCAACGCAAGATTCCAGATATGGCCTGACCAAGCCTGCACAATAGGCCTTTTATTTCCCCCAGTCAGGACAGGACACATTGTTAATGCAGCCTAAGACTGCTGGGCTTCAGAGCCTTTCTCTCCCATGATTAGTTCTCATCAGGTTGTGGTCAACTAAATCATTCAGATCCCTTTCACCGAAGCTGAGGTCAAGTCAGGCCTCCCCCAGGCCTCTGCTTTGTGTAATGTCTTGAAATTCACAGAAGGACAGTGTCGTCTTGCTTCTTCCAGCCTGTAGAAATGGTTCTGAATGCTAGTTCTATTTATTGGTCACTGTTTTCTCTTTCTCTTTCTGTCTCTCTCTCTCTCTCAATTCAGATCCATGCTGTTTCTCATGACTGCAATGTCACCATCTGTATCACTGGTCAGAGCAGAGCCCCCTAACTCACCACTAGAAACCCTTCTATGCCATCAACTAAATCAGGACACTAATTCAATTAGTATCCAAGCTCATGCACAGCTTCCAATTATCCAACACCCACTGTATGTTGGCAAGCCCTGAGCTAAGTACTTCCTACTGCTGACTCTTGAAAGGCGCAGTGGTGAGGAGTGCCAGCCCTCCTGCACTGTGGAAAATAGGAACGGAACTTTTGACTCTCCCAAACGGAGCTGCTAATAGCTGGCAATTGATGAGAACATAAAAATAACACGAACAATGAGGCAGTTTGTATGTCACATGTATTCCATACTGTATTTTTGAAGCAAAGTAAGCTAGCAAAAAGAAATTGTTATTAGGGAAAAAAAGAAGAAAAAACATAAGGGGACTTGCTCTTCAAACCACTACTCGCCCTTAAACACGTGCCTCTGTCTCTGCTTGCATTTTCTACTCTGGAGGAGCCTGTATTCTCTCTTGAATACTTACTGCTCTCTTTCTCTCTCCTCACATCTTTCTTAGTTTTTTTCAGTAAGAACTATCTTACTTCAATAAAGAAAGGAAAGAAGGAAGAAGGAAGGAAGGAAAGAAGGAAGGAAGGAAGGAAGGAAGGAAGGAAGGAAGGAAGGAAAGACATAGGGAAGGAAGGGAGGAAGAAGGAGGGATGGAAGGAAGGAAGGAAGGAAGGAAGGAAGGAAGGAAGGAAGGAAGGAAGGAAGGGAGCAGAGTGATAGTAGAGTGGGCAGGGCATTTGCCTTGCATGCGGCTGACCTGAGTTCGATCCCTGGCATCCCGGATTGTCCTCCGAGCACTGCCAGGAGTGATTCCTTAGTGCAGAGTTAGGAGCAACCCCTGAGCATCACTTGGTATGACCAAAAGAAGGAAAGATCTTAAAGGGTACCCTGGAGGTAGCTCAACTAAAATTTCTCCCACATGTCAAATGTGCATAATTTTTTTTCTTTTTGGGTTACACCTTGCGATGCACACAGGGGTTACTCCTGGCTTTACACTCAGGAATTACTCCTGGCGGTGCTCAGGGAACCATATGGGATACTGGGAATCGAACCCGGGTCGGCCATGTGCAAGGCAAACGCCCTACCCATTGTACAATTGCACCAGCCCCTGGGAATAAATTTTAGGGCCTGCTTTGCATGCTGGAACCCCAGGCTTGATCCCTGGCACATGGTCCTTCAAGCACCACTGAGTGAGACCCAAAAACAAAAAATCCTAAAGAAGAGAAAATACTTTTACCATTCTGTTTTGTATTTCAGTACTGTGATTTTTACATTGTCTTCAAGAAGTTTCACCTACATTGGGCCAGAACTAGTACAAGACTTTACACAGTGGACCCAGGTTCAATCCCCAGCATCACATATGTGAATCCAGCCAGGAGTATGTCTTAGAAACAGAGTAAAAAATCAGCCCTGAGGACAGCTGAGTGTGGCCCCAAATGGGAGGAGAATGAGGAGGAGGAGGACGACGACGACGACCTCATTTTATGGACGATGAACCTGAGGCTGAGAGAGGGGCAGTGAAGACTTGCAAAAAAGTCCGAGCTGACTCAGCTCCATCTGAACCAGAGCTCAACTGTAGACACGCCACTCAGGCGTGCAGTCCTGACCACTGGTGTGTCTCCAGTGGCCTCCTTGGCTGCTCTCCTTCCTGCCCTGTGCTCCCCCAACCTCCAGGCCTGGAGCCCAAGGGGCTCTGCTGAGGTTCCAGCCCCCTGTGGCCAAGGACACCCTGATCCCCTCCAAGAGTCTAAGGAGCCTGGAGCATTCCCTGTAGCAATGTTGCTTCCATCCAGGACAGACTCCCCAGGAGCAAACACAGTGCCACTTGCAGGAAGGGGGGCGGGTAGGGATAGGGAGGGGCCTCCTCCCTTCATCCTTCACCCCTCCTGGTCTTGCCAGCCCTACAGCCTCAGGCAAATGAATGGAAGCGCTTCTCCTTGTTACTCTGCCCAAGAGGCTCACAGGGCTCCCCCAGTTTCTTCATCTGTCCTAGTGTATGATTGAAGGGCTTTTCAGGGGGCCGCCAGGTATGTACCATGAACTTTTGG